GCCAGCCGAGGCGGGCGCGCGCTAGCGTTTACAATTACCATATTATGAATAACTAGAAGGACACCCGTAGTTACATATCATTTACTAATGGCTCCGAGGGGCGGTGCCCCTTGTTGCACGCAGGTGCCGGCCTGAGGCTGAAAGCAGCCTGCCATGGGCCACAAGATTAGAATATGGGGGCTTTTTAGGGATTATTTAGGGATAATGGAAAATGGAAGCTACTGTAGTATAATAAGGTTGTATTGGGGTTATAATGAATTGAAGAGGGTGAGGAGAGTACTACGATTCTGGAAGTCTTGCATTGGCAAGTTGAGCGTTGTCCGAGATTTCTTGAAGCCTAGGTGCTCTTGAGAAAGAACTGCTCCTACAAGGTTACGCCTCTGGTCATACTTTGCTCATGATCACCCCAGAGTAATTGGGCGCCGCCTCTCGCAAGAAGCGAGGTGCCAAAACTCCATGGGTTTCGTCCAAGGCCTGCCAGTACAGCAGTCTGCGGAGGCTACAGCCGCAGCAGAACGCATGCCAAAGCGCTGCTTGCTCTAAGATTCCCGAGCGACAGTCTTGCAATCACTGGGCCCGAATTGTAGAACGCCTTCCTATTCGCAAGTGGCGTCACTTGGCGACTTAGTATGCCATTAGGAACATTACCAAGAAGGGATACGCCTCCATTGGCACATGCCTACATGAAATTTCTGTGGCGCATGCATGTGCTTTCGCGAAGGCAGAGAAATAGCGCAAATGCCAGCACGACTGACGTAATTACCCACATCGCCTGACCCAAATGGACTGGATTTCAGCAACAACAGAAGCCCTAAACCCTAAACCCCAACATCACCCTGCCCACAACGGACCAATTTGAATAGCCAAGCATGGCCCCAGTGCATTTTACCATCTGCCCTCAGCATAGTGACAGATTCTCCCCAGTCCCCACTGCAAGAGGAATACCTTACCTGTGGGGGGGGGAGGGGAGGGTATTTAGGAGTCATACAGGGGATATAGTGGGATAATGGAAAAAATGGAAACTACGTAGTATTTAGGGTTTAGGCCCCGCAGCTGAAACATAACGGGAAATGTGCGGGCTCTGAAGGAGAAGCGGTTGATTCCTACAGGCATGGCTCGCGTATATTTGGCGCCGAGCCAAGCGAATATGAAGTTGCGTGTGTAAGGCAATTCCCAGTCTTAGAGCGGACCTCCCATCCAGCTCTTGGAGGCAGCTCAACGCCAGGAACTACCTGCAACATGGAACATCTCGAAAAAGGAACTTTAGCCAAACAGCTTCCAGAGCATCATCAGTAGCCACCACTGCCCAACTGCTTACACCGAGAAAGTGTTTCAACATTCAGCTGGCTCTGTTCGCCAGGCTGCAGCCGCAGAGAAGTTCCAATCATCCATGGAGGACTCCGAGATGCGCCATTTGCCTGCACCTTGACGCATCCGCGTAGATGCACAGGTGATGTTCGCGGCATGCTTGCAAAGTACTGTGCTGGAGGGGCTCCTATTCTTCTTGCTTCTTGTTTGGCTGGGGGGAGGGTCACACTGAAACTGAATCCATCGAGCCAGTTACGCTGGTTTCCCAAAGCTGTTCTCATGTCGTCTGTACATCATGGTTCTGGCATGCATGGGTGTGTCACTCCTCTGCCCACTGTGTTGGGCATGCGGCATGCGTCAGGACCCTGAGTTGTACTGTAGGAGTGCCTTGGGGGCATAGTAGTCATGCTTTCAAAATGTGTCACCGGCTTCTGTCTCAGTTTAAGTGGCATGCAGTTTCCATACATAGCCCTGTGGATTAAGACAACAGGTAAACACGGGATTGCACTTGTCAGGATCAACAGATTTTGTTCGCATTTTTTGCCTGCTGTTCTGATCAAGTGGTTGCTGTGCCTTGTCTGAGAAGAGACGAAACAACAACACCGAATTAGGAATGCCTCTCTTTCAGCAACCCCTACGTAGATAATGACCTTCTGGTCGGATTAAGGGCTTCAGGCACATGGAGTTTGAAGGTTGTGCTGTTGAGGGCTCTGAAGTCATGCCGTGCCCTGCAGGCACTGACCGGAAAGGAATCACACTTCTTGTCAGGATGCTGGGATCGCACCAAATCTGCTGCCCGCCAGCGCACTGGTACAGCGGATAGCTGCTGTGCTCTCCCGAACGTTCCTTGATTGCAGTGCTGGTGGGAGCTCTGGATTGTTCACAACTTAGGTCCCCTGATCTATCTTCGAGAGAGGAACCCCCAAAGTTGGCCTATGCTATACCATAATCTTGAGGTTCCTCATGCCAAAAGAGCCTCTGAATAGGAAGGCTTCCCAAGAATGACCTATGCCAAACAAACCCCTCAAAGAAAATGGAGCGACCATTTCCCATGTCTTGTTCCTAACCCTGGACCCAGGCATGTGATGGCGCAGGGCCCGTCGCCCTGCTTCACACATTAGAATATTGGGATACTATCCCTATAAACCCTATTATACAGCCCCTGCATATTTGTATGTATATCTATATATATATATATGTATATGTACATTTGTATGTGATCTATATTCGGCCCTATTTAATCACCTCCTGACCACAGGCTGCATTGACTGTGACAAGACAGCCTTCGCTGCCATGGCTCATACTTCCCCCGGAGTGCTGCGGGACCATTCACCACGACTGCATAGGACCTGGAGGGCCCAAGTGCATCAGTTTCGGACGTGATCTGCTAATGTAGACCCGTGATGAATACACCCCCTCCCCTTAATCAGAATTGTAGTAGGGATCCTAGTATGAAGGCCCTTAAAAGGACGGGGGTTTGTTGATCAAGGGTCTACAGTCTACGATGTGACTCATCATCAGCCACTTGGTGTTCTGGCATCAGCCAGTCATGAGCAGACGACGTACCAGCCGCCTCTGCGTTTTGGGTACGTCGCGATACTTCTGCGCCGCAACCAGGCGCTGCACATGCTTCCTGAGCTCGAACTGAGTCCCGCAGCAGGGTCAATAAAAGGCCATCTTGGAAAAATGGACAGAAGGACACGATCCAATCAGAAGTTCAGAAGCCCTGACTCGAGACGACAGCCAGTGGGCATATTGCAATATGTTTGATGGGAAGTTTGGTGTTTAAGACGCCTGGGCCGCACGGCATGTGCATCTTATGTCAGCTTATGAGCCGTTGCTTTGAGGGCTGCATAGCCGAGCATCTTCAGGTTGACCTCGCCGTGGATCTGCACTTCCTGGCAGCGGAATGTCCAAGCACTCCGGCCGATGGGTTCGTACGACTATGCGCTATGTATCAGCACTCACTGCGTTCCATTGTGTAACATTTAGCCAGCAGGCAAATGCGGGATGCCTTTTGACTACAGCCTGGCTTCCCCGCACATCTTCCAGGACAGCTTTTTGCTGACTGCCCTTGCCGCAAAGACTGGAAAACAGTGGGGCTTGCCCTCGGGCTCTGGAGCATGCTTCGCGGCAAGTGGGGCCTGCCTACGTGTGTTGGGACCATGCGGCTCGTTGGCCGCTGAGCATGGCCCAACTGCCAAAGTTTTTGTGTGGTGGAGTTCGTCAAGAAGCAAAAGTAAGATTTCGTTCGCTAAACATGGAAGAGCTAGACGCACCTCTCATTGCGTGGCCTTTCTCAATCTTTCTCAGTCGCTCTTCTTGCCAGTCTGCACCGCGGAAGAATTGGGGAAAAGGATTACCCCGACAACGACTAGAAGCCCGCTCAAGAAGTAGAGTGCTCGGCTGAGGTTGAAGTCCGCACCGGCCACTGTCCTCGGTTTGAGACAGGCACAGCTGTGCAGCTAGTCTTTGCTGCTGGTGTTGGGACCCTGGACTCTGGGCTCTTTCAATCCAGCTTCAGGACAGTCATTGGAGCCATCCATCCAACCACCCCATCGGTGACTGCCTGGACCTGCACATGCAAAGACTGATCCTGCAAGTTGCGGTCTGTAGGCCCATGGCCCCTTGATGGAGCACTGCTGCGAGATCCGAACGATCATGTCATTACGCTGCTGATTTCAGCCATGGCCAGAGTAAATCGGTAAGGGCGCATCCTCATGATCCTAGGAACAAGGGGCAAAACCTCAGCCACAAGACTAGCTGAAGAATGATCAGCACCAGCACCAGCACCACCGCCACCCCAGCCGCAGCATGATGCATGTAGCACTAAACGGATAACCTGCTAAGCGACAATGCAACGGCCTGCTGCAAAATCGGCATCTTCTCGGCAAGGGGCGAGCCGCCCACAAGCTTCCTAGAGTGCTTCCGAGGTTCCGAGTTCTTATTCTTGCCCTCGCATGGACTGCGACGAGTACCAAATCCGTCTAGCGGGTGCACATGCGGCCCATCGTGATAAGCACTACTTATGCGAATGTAAGCGTGTTGATCAAAGGCGATGACGTGCTTGGTTCGGTAAGCGGTCCATGTGCCACGGCTTCTCAACCATACATGGGCTTGCTAAACCTATCCCCTGCTTCAGCTCATCATTTGGGCTGTTGCTTTGGCCTTTCGAAAAACTACTGGGGAACTGAGGCCAATTCTTCATTCGCAAACTCTTGACAGGCAAGTAACCACAGCAGCGGGGCTAGAAGCATCTTCAAAATGGCGCTGGCAAACGTGGCTGCCATGAAGACGCTGAGGCCTCAACAGAATCCAAAGGTTGTTGCTGTTGTCGCTTCACTCTCGTGAGTCCCACGGAAAAAAGGACAAACCCTTCCTCACCGCAAGATCTAGTTAAACATAGTGTCGTGCTATGGGGGCGGCTTCTGTTTCCTGGCGGCCTGCTTTTGGAGGCATGAGGAATGAGACCTGCTGTTCGGATGGGCTCCTCTTTTTGGAATGGAATCTGGCTAAACGATTTGAATTCGGAAGTCTGATGCAACTGTTTGATTCCGTGGGCTGTAACTTGATCTTTGATGTACGGTAGATGGCATTAAGGGATACAAGCTTGAGCTGTGGATCGCAAGCCGTCACAACCTGACACGTTGCTACCCTTCAGCCCTCTTGCTTCTGGCTTTGGAGCAAGGAGCTGGTGGTGAAATGCTCCACTGTCCGTGTGATTAGCGACAGGCAGACGGCAACCACCTGCATGCACAACAGCAACTGCATGTCTGCGACATCCGTGCTACAACGGGCGGGGCTCACTGAAACTGAAGGTTTCGGGACGGCGTGCTCAAGCATTTTGCGGGCAAAACTGCCGTCCTGACTGTGTCTTTGGGAAAGCCAAGGCGCTGTGGCTGGGAACGTGGCTTGTGGCACGGCTGACATCGACATCAGGCCGCCAATCATGCCTGGCAGCATCGTGAAATCCAAAATCTGGCTTGTTCAAGTAGCTGCAAGCACGGGCAATGACAGAGGTTCTGCCAGCTCGAACGTGCTGTGATTGCAAACCCCTGGGCTTCAAGAGTGTCATTGGCCAACAGCAATCAGCAAAGCAACGAAACCCTACGTCTGTTCAGTTTCCAGCTTCAAGTGTGATAGAAGCTCGTCTATGCAGTCAACCAAGTTGTCTGGATATCTCCGCCAAAAGTAGAGAGGGATGAGCATTGAAAACCAGGCCTCCTAGGCAACCCAGGAACTGAAGCTGCCCCCAGGTCCAGGAGTCCTGCCACTATGTCCAATCCATGGGCTCCGACAGCTTTACAATGGTGAAGGGCTACGCTATTGGCGGTTGTAGCAGGAGCCGGAGACAGAGGAGTGACAAAGGAACAGCAGAGGAGCTTCTTACTTCCTTCGTCAAATATCTTTAGGCTGTGGTGCAAGCTCGCACAGGCTAAATTCAAAAGCCCTAAGCCATCCACTATATTGGATAAACGATGCTCACCCAAGAAATTGCATGAAGTCTGAATGCCAGTGCAGATTGAGCAGGCACGAGCTCCGAGCAAGAATCCAATCTACACTTTGATCTATAGAGCACAACTGGGATAACTCTCGAGAAAAGAACCCCTACATCGGTACTACAATCCGCTTTTTGGGACCATGAAGTACGTGAAGGAGTTCTCCTCGGGATCGCCGCGCCTCCCAGGCCCGCCCAGACCTTTCTTTCAGGACTCCCAGGCTTCCCGAGACTCAGGGGCCTCAGCCAGGGCCTCCAGCACCTCTGCCAAACTTCCCCAATTTCACAATCACTGGCTCAGCATCTGCATCCCGCCTGTTTTCAGATTTATTTCGGAGCCTGACGGACGCGTTTGAGCTGGCAGTACCATTCGTCCTTCATGATGAACAGCTCCGCGGCCGTGGATTTCATTGTCAACGGGTGCGACAGCGATGTCCGGCAGCCTTCCAAGAGCTGCCCAACGGTTCCCATGGGCCTCCAAGGGCACCCACCTTGCGGGGAGCCTCCCAAAACCCAGCGTTCCAAAAACCTCAGGGCCTTCAGGAAAGGCCCCAGATTCCCACGCGCTCCCCCCGCCCCCTCAGCCAGTGTAGGAACCCAGCCTTGAGATTCTTGAGACGAATTATTTATGTAGTTGAAACATGGTAATGACCTAGATGGACCTAACTGAGTTTAGGTCCTAAACCCTCGAAGGAACTGTTTTGGGTGCATTGGCCGCCTCAGACGGCGCGGTGAGGCATTCATGAAATGACCCTCCACAATGGGGCCGCTACTGCACCTAGCATGCAAGGATGCACTCGAGCGACCTCGAAAGCCTCCATACCACGCCATATCACAGAAAACCAAAAACCCTAAATCCTAAAGACTAAATCCTAAACCCAAAGCCCCAAGCCCTAAATCCTAAACCCTAAATCCATTTCCCTAAGCCCTCCAGTCCAACTCCATGCGCATGGTCAAGCTGGGGCCGAGCATGGCCTCCCTGCAAGAATTGTGGATGGCCTTCAGGGGACGGATAAGCAATACTGGAATATCAAATGGTAAAAGAAATGGACATGAAATGGAAACTGCTATATAAAGGGTGATGTAGGGGGTTATAGGGGTTATATTCTAAACTCCTAGTATCCCCTAGCATCCCCTTCACAATGGAGAATCACATGGAAAAGAAAACGGAAAATGAATTGGAAGCTTGGATTATGTAGGGATTATAGGGGTTATATATAGCCTAAACTCCTATTATAATGAGCCCTATAGTACTCTCCTATATAATCCTACTATACCACCCTTTTTAAGGAGTTTAGACTACAGCTAAGATGGCTTGATGGCCAAGAGCTTGCATGATCCTAGGCATACTATACTACCATAACTCCTTGGGCTTTGGGTACCTAGGGTTTTGCATGACTTTGTCCTTGGAGAGGAAAATACAGGAAATCTGGTGGGTAGAGTTCTCCCAAAGAAGTTCCTCGAATTCCCACAAGAATTGGAGTTACAACTGGGGCTCTAGGTGGGGGAACTGTAGCTATAACCTGCCTGAGGGTACTCTGACCCTGCTTGTAAGAATCCATGAGCCCCCTTGTGCAGCCGGCAGGTGCAAGCTATTGCAACAGCAAAGGCTTATCCTAAGGGATGCTCTGTGTCTCTATATTAGGGTTATTTAGGGATAGTGGTAATTAAAATGGAAGCTACTATATTATGTAATATAGGGTTATATTGGGGATATATTGGTTATATTGGGGTAATGGAAAATAAAATGGAAAACTACTATAATGAGTTATGTAGGGTTTAGGGTTTTATAGGGTGTCAGCAGCAGCACGAAGCAATGCTGAGCAAGCAGCTTGTGGCGAAGGTGCCTAATCTCCTTTTGCAGTGCTTTGGAAATCTGATGTTGGGCTTCCTTTCTCAGATGAACCTGGAAACCACCCCTCCAACTCTTACGCTTGCACAGCTTCATATTTTGGCCCCTCCTGCTTCGAAATTATGAACACTTCCGAGACCGAGCCGGATGCTTCGACATAATCATCTCTAGTGTAAGATCCCAGGATCCCTAATCAACATTGCATACCTCTCTACCTTTGGGACAGAACCCAGCGCAAGCGCCCGGCCAGCATGGTCAACATGAAGAAGCCGGGCATCAAGTTGGTGCCTCATGGCTACTTCTAAATTCTTTGGAACGAGGGGCCCTCAAGAAACACATAGATACCTGCAAGGGAACTCGGATGTTGAGAAACTTATTCATGTCAGCTCCAACTAGTATAGAACCCTATAGAGTACTATGGAACCCTATAAAACACGATAGTGCCTGGCATGTTTTTTGCAGCAGGCTTGCTCCCTCTTGCCTGCTCCAGAAGCCTTTCTGGCTTGGCTGGGGTCAACTGATCCGGCGGGGATCCGTGTACCACATCCCTTCAACAACAAGTAAGTACGTAACTAAGTAGGTAAGTATGTAAGTATACTAGGGTTAGGGGTACATGTGAAGCAGTTGTTGACAAATTCCAGCAGGTTTCTGGAAGCCAAAGCTCATTGCATATCAGACATTCACTGCACTTTGTCCTGGGCCTCTCTACACATGAAATGCCTATTGGCCCACATCAGGGTCCCATGTCCCTTGAACAGGGACCGCAAATGCCAAAAGCAGACCATGCTTCGCACACATCCATGCGCACTCAAAATCCCAATGCCGAACACGGGAATCTTAGACGCAGTAATGCTTGCTCGTCCCGACAATAGAATATTTATAATGGCCCTGCCAAAGAGCACAAACAATGTGCAGAACAACTTATGGCAACACGCACTGCAACGAGTGACTATCAAAAGTACTGACAGTGCCACTGCGCCTGCAATGCCTATGCATTAGTGCGCACTCTTCCTATGCATCTTCTGCCAAGCGGCTAAATTCTCTCAGACGCCAGGGTGCGTCTGGCGGTTTGCTGCTAGCCTCACACGGCACGACACGGTGGTTTCTGCTGACCGCCGCACCGCCGACGCAACCACCGCCACCACGTCATCGCCACCACCTCCACCACCACCGCCGCCACCATCGCCACTACCGCCATGAGGATTGCCACCATGACTGGAGGCACTTGTTTTATGTCTACAACTGCTGCTCGTCGACTTGTACCAGCCTTGTTTTTAAACAGCGTTGTCAGCATGCCACTCCAACAAGTGATCGCAACGATGAGTGCTCCCTCAAGACAACCCCACGGTCCCATCAACTTACCGGTGGGTAGTAGGGAGTAAGGGAATACACGCCCCACTTAATCCATACATAACATGTTCCCTTGTTCCCTGCCAACCCCCAGTGAGTCAGTGTCGGCCTGCATCATACATTGCCTGTCGGACTGGTGGACAACATGCTCCCGGGGCAAAGGAGAAGGGGCCTTCCTTGAGATTGAGGCATTGTGTTTAGGAGCTAGGGAAACGACATTTCTGAAACAGGATCCCTTGCAAAGTTGCATTCATTCTCACAATCCTCTCTCCTGTTGCTGGGGCGGGAATTTGCACCACAACAAGGGAGATCGCGACAAAAGTGATCCCAGAGAAGATTTATGGGCATGTCTACTCAACCATGGAAACTTTTCAACGACTGGGCCGCGCACCGGGCTTGGCAAGAGAAACAACGCCGACGAGGCCAGGGAAAGGAGCACCAAGCTGCAAGCCTTTCACGAGGAAGGATAGAAATCCTCGTAGTCTCGCTTTTTCAATCGCTTGTAACCACTGCTCAGGCAGCTGCCTGCCCAGCAGGACCATGCGCTGCAAGCAGTTCTCCCTTTGCTGCAACTCAGGGCAAACTGGCTTCAAGGCTTCCTCCTGCTATTCACCTTAGCTGGGTTGCTGTTAAGGAACTTAAATTACCTTACCATAATGGGTATATATAGTA